TACAAAAAAAAATTATTTTTGCTTCTAAACCTGTTAATTTGTTTTCACTGATCATGGGAAAAATAATAAAAAAATCGTAAGTGGCATATATTGCCCGCTATAGGGCGGGGAAGTCTGGCAAAAAACAGGCACTGACTCAGCGTGTGTCCCAGACAGTCTGTTGCTTGCCAGCTGTCAGGCCGGAGTTGCCACAAAGAGATACTGTAATTACCTAATTATTTCAATGTCTCTGATTGATTTTTCGTAGTTTTTTTTGCTGTAATATTATTCAATAGTGTGTAGTGTCATATATTTATATAATAAAATGAGTGAATCATCGCTGTACTCAAAAATATGGTGTGCATATTGTTGATTCAATTATGTTCATCAAACAGTGAACAAATACTTTGTCGGTTATTACACTATATACACAGGTTATATATAAGTATCTGCATGTTTTGTTCACCATAACGAACGTCAAAATGCAACGAGGAGTGACCGCCACACACCAGCCAGCCACTCACTCCCTTAACACCTCACTCGCCCATATTCTCCTCCCACCATACTGTTTTTTCCTTTTATTCACTATATACAGACGTTATATATAAGTATCTACATTCGTGTTCACCGTATCAAACCACTAAGTTGGCATGCTGAGTGGCAGTTCCAGTGGCAGCCCGCCACTGGCTGCTACTTCCTCCCTCCCTCAAGTCACCTGACTCACCCACATTCTCCTCCCACAATACTGTTTTTGCTTTTATTCACTATATAAGGACACTATATATAAGTATCTACATTCGTGTTCACCATAGCGAACCACTAAGTTGGTATGCTGAGTGGCAGTGGCAGTGGCAGCCAGTGGCGGCTGCCACTCCCTCCTCCCTCACCTCACCTGACTTGCCACCATTCTCCTCCCACCATACTGTTTTTGCTTTTATATATAGACGTTATATATAAGTATATACATGTTTTGTTCACCATAACTGTACATCTAAGCTTTTATGGTGAGTAAAGGCACAAAGACGTAGCTACTCACACAGTCAGCTGGTGGCGGCCGCCCTCAAGGCCAGACGCACTAATATTTCTCCTCCAACAATACTGTTTGTGGTGTTATTATGCTATATACACACATTATATATAAGTATCTACCTGTTTTATTCACCATACTTGTACAAGTAAACTGGTATGGTGCCCAAAGACCATAGTGGTCACCAGTAAACATGATAAGTCGTGCAGACGACACACCTCCCTCACCAAAATGGCAGCTCCCAACCTATTCCTATTGCTGTTTATACCCTCTATACACACGTTATATATAAGTATCTACATTTGTGTTCACCATAGTGAACCACTAAGCTGGTATGGTGAGTGCAGTCAATAAAAGATGGCCACACACACAGTCAGAAGACGACACCACCCTCCCTCCCACAGCATTACTCCTCCCTCCATGGAGCACAGCACTAAATATCACCGCAATCCTGCTATTATCAGAACCCTGATCAGTTTTATCACAGTCAGGGGGCGTCTATAATAATAGCATTGCTAAATAATAGCATGAACATGTATATTATGGCATTTTTAGGCGATGCTGTGGTCACTAGCTGAACAGCAGTGCTGTGAGCTCATGCTGCGTGCGTCAGGCTTGGTTGCTCGCTCAGTACTGAGGCCCCTCACACCTGGGAATTTGGCACACGATTTTTTTTTTTTAAATAGCGTCTGTTTACAAGAGCCCTGATGAAGGTGTGGTGAACCCCGTGAATCCGCAGGCCGTTTAAATCTTGCGCGGTACTCCAAAACATCATATGATGCCGAGCGCGATTTACTGCAAGTCACTCAACGCATCATATGATGTCTTGTGCAACTAAAGGGTTAAGGGCTTTCGAGTTATTATTTTCATTTATGTGTCGTTGAGACGCGATTGTGTTTACATAATTGAATTGTTGCTGACTGCTGTGGATGGTCTATTAATGTAATTGTTATTAAATTCAATTAGTGTACTTTTTAGTATTGTTGTTGTGTCTTGAGAGACAAGTGGCAGGAGGTTTCTGCCCGCACGAGGCAGAAACAAATGGGCAAAGTTTCTTTCACCCTGAATGCCCCTGTTACCTAGCAGTAAATAGGTACCTGGGAGTTAGTCAGCTGTCACGGGCTGCTTCCTGGGGGTGGAGGCCTGGTCGAGGACCGGGCCGCGGGGACACTAAAGCCCCGAAATCATCTCAAGATAACCTCAAGAAGTGTTAATGTAAGATTTTGATAGGGGGTCATCAGTGTTGGATCACCCACCTAGTTACTTGGTACCTCACTGGGAGGGCCGCGAGTGTCATTCAAGATTTGTGATTATAGTACATTGCTCACCGAGAGGGCCGTGAGATATATTGATTGCAAACTTGTGTCACCAGTGGGCACCTCTCTGTTCAGTTAGTGCCATTATTCAGTCAGCGACGACAGAAGGAGTCCATGGGTCCACCAGGCTGTGGAATTAGCTATTGCTAATGTGCCACTGGGAGACAGTAAAGGAACATAAACTCGTTGTTGTAGTAATTCTAGATTTTTGTTGAATAAATTGTTATTGTTCTTAGAAATGGTCATTTAAGTTCAATCCCACAATAATATTGTCCCCACTTATGTTCTGCAATGCCTTGCATGCTTATGTGTAAATTGAGTCTGTCCCTAGAGCTTGAGTCCAATTCATAGCACCACACTTCAAAGAAATTCGAAGTGAGAGCCCGTCGGTTACCCTTTATTTAGTTTTATCACTAGAAGGAGCCAGTGGCACAAGTGGACAGGTTTTTACCCATGTGATGGAAGACTGGCAGTTTGCTCCCACTTTTTCTATGGCCTCAGGCTTAAAGTCAAAATCTGCAAGTAAGCAGCTCTTTCTGTTTGAGGTCTGCCTTCCATGCGAGGTAGTTACATTAACATAGCATCAATAGGAAATTATTTTTGATCAAAAAAAGTCAAAAAGAAAAATCTCACAAGTACATAGCATTGATGTTTTTACATTCTTGCAAATCCACTAACACACACAGCATTTCGGTCAGGTCCTTTAAAATATGCAACTTCACCGGTGTAATCATTCATCAATTTATATTGTAGTCATTATGGAAAACTTCAATTTTGTTGCATATTATATTATGTTGAGCTTAAATTCTACTTCAATGTACCTATTAAATAAATAAGATGCTGTGTTTAGGGAAGAAATTGATGAAATATGAACTCACATTTTGCCACCCATTCACTATTCATGTGGTGAAGTGGTGGAGGTGAATTAAGGTGATTTTTAGCCAACAGTCAATGAGAAACTTATTTTTTTTACTGAATTATTTAATACTTTTCTGGGAACCCTCTCATTCATTAAGTGAGGTTTGCTTGTACATCATATGGTCAAAGAATTTATATGATAGTATTATTATTAGCATAATAATAATATACAATATTTACAATTTTATAACCATTTTATTAGTGTTTAAGCATGAAACTTTTGACAACTAGGTGGGTGGACTGAAGCCTATATCTTAATCAAATCTGTGCATCACAGAGGGAGGCCTGGTCGACGACCGGGCCGCGGGGACGCTAAGCCCCGGAAGCACCTCAAGGTAATCACCTGCCTCATCAAACACACATTCACCTGCTAAGGGAAATGGGTTAGCAAATTTGGTCTAAAAAGTGTTCCAAAGGGCCAGTGATTTACTGAATCAAGGTTGCATTACTGTCCTCTAGCACACATTAATTCAGATAAGAGGAGTCAGGCTGTATCTTATCATAAAACAATATTGATTTAACAAGAGCCTTTAGTGGTTGAGTAAATCCTATAAATTAGGGAGGTTCACGCGTTAATGTTACAAGATTACAGTAATAATCTGACATATATATTCCTAAGCCCATAAACATGTGGTATTAACAGACTTCGTAAGTGTTTGAGAGGGAACTTTTGAAAATACCTCCAGAGGGTCACTGATCACAATGTCAGACTGCATTCAGTGATGTAGAACAGTTTTGTCAACCAGAGGGCCAGATTCACAAAGCAGTTATGCACGGACTTACGAACCTGTACATCTTTTCTCAATCTTTAGCAGCTTTGTTTACAATTATTGAACAGTTAATGAACTCCGAAGCACCAGGAGGCTGTTTATAACAATAACAACACTTAATTGGGAAGTTTTCACTCTTGTAAACTGTTTAATAAATGTAATAAAAGCTGTCAAAGATTGGGGAAAGATGTAGACGTTCGTAAGTACTTGAGTAGCTGCTTCATGAATCTGGCTCCAGGCAGTCAACAAGGAGACTAGACCAGATACCAGACTGCAGAGACAACGATACCTGGAGCAACTTCAAGGTAGCTCCATGGTACAAGTGAGGTGCTATATAAATCTTAGATGGTGCTAAGCATTTTCTCTCCTGCTACCTGTGATTGGTGAGTACATTAGGTTATTGACACTTGTAAAATGACACCACAAACATCTATAGGGATACTAACACCACATACCCTACTTGACAATAGTCAACCTTGTGTCTACTTTGTGGAGGTTCTGGGGATCAATGGCCCCATGGCCCGTCTCCAACCAGGCCTCCCAGTTGGTCATCTGGTCAACCAGGCTGTTGGACGTGGCTGCTCCCAGCCTAACGTATGAATCACAGACTGGTTGATCAGGTATTCTTTGGAAGTGTTTGTAGTGTTCTTCCTTCCTTCCTTCCATGAGAGGTCGGCCCAGTTATGCTCCTTATGTGTAGCGGGAGAGTGTTGAACAGTCTTGGGCCCAGATGTTGATAGAGGTCTCCCTTAGTGTACCTATTGCACCTCTGCTTTTCAATGGGGCTATTTTGCACATCCTGCCATGCCTGTTAGTTTCATGTGATGCAATCTCTATGTTCAGATTTGGAACCAGTCCCTCTTCAGTACTGGTACTGACTAGTTGATTGATTCAGCTGAGCCACACCAAAGAAACATATTGCCTTAACAGATCTCTAACCCTGTCCATGGAAGACAGAAGAAAATATATACTGTATATGTTGGTTAGCATTGTAAATGTGTAGCTACATCTGTGGTAGATAATAATACAAACAAAAACAAAAAATTGCCTCCTCAGAGGCATAGACCGAGGGCAACCACAGCTTCCAATAGGGTAACAAATGACACATGGATCGCCATGCATAGCAAACACAGTAGACAGATTACTTAAACTTCTCGAGTGTGGCTGTCTGGTTCTTGACAGTAGCTTTACCCCCATAATGCCATGTCGGGACACTGACCCAGGGAGTGGGGGAGCTTACCTCCCCATGTCACTTGGCACATGCTTCACTCTCCAGACCCAGCAATAGATGTAACTCATATGCACTGTTCCAGTCCTTGTATTATGAGTGATAATCATTAATTTACTATAATGTAGCTATAGTCAAAAAGAATTATAAACAAATTTAAGTTATTCTCCTTTATGAACTTTCATATGCTTTAACATATATGAATTTTGTGTAAAGCCTTTCAAACACACTAAGCACTGAAATGGTTTTTCTCCTGAATGAATTCTCAAATGACGTACTAAATTTGACTTTTGTCCAAAGTATTTTTGACACTCTGGACACTGATATGGCTTCTCTTTTGAATGAACTTTCATATGTGACACTAGATGTGATTTTTGAGCAAAGTGTTTTTGACATTTTAAACATTGATATGGTTTCTCACCTGAATGAAATCTCATATGTACTAAAAGACTTGACTTTTGTGTAAAGACTTTCAAACACTCTGAACAGCGATATGGTTTCTCTCCTGAATGAACTCTCATATGACGTAAAAGTTTTGACTTTTGTAAAAACCTATTTAGACACATTGAACACTGATACGGTTTCTCTTCTGAATGAACTCTCATATGTGATACTATATAAGATTTGTGTGAAAAGTCTTTTAGACATTCTAAACAATGATATGGTTTCTCTCCTGAATGAACTCTCATATGATATACTAGATTTGACTTTTTTGCAAATTCCTTAAGACACTCTGAACATTGATATGGTTTCTCTCCTGAATGGACTCGCACATGACATAATAGTTTTGACTTTTGAGTAAAACTTTTCAAACACTCTGAACACTGATAAGGTTTCATTTTTACAAAAACGTTTGTGTCCAGAGGATGTTGAGGATAGAGATGGGTGGTTGAGGTCAGCTATAAAGTATGGAAAGTTATTCCCATCCACAGGCTCATGAGGCTGGGCATGTAGTTGCCACTTTGTTGAGGAAATCTGTAAGATACAGAGAGTTGTCAGAGTACTGTATTTCCATTTTTGACAACTACTGATGATATAAAAATCATTTCTACCACTCACATAATTTATATTATTGAATGTTATCACTATATGTATAATTCATTTGGTGAGAGAATTGGCTGCTAAAGCAAAAAATTGTTTTCCACTGTCAGGGAAAGGAAGTCTCTATTAAAATGATCAAGGTCCCAGTAGGCCAACGACAGACCTTTCTTGAGATTCTTGAGGTTATCTTGAGATGATTTCGGGGCTTTTTAGTGTCCCCGCGGCCCGGTCCTCGACCAGGCCTCCACCCCCAGGAAGCAGCCCGTGACAGCTGACTAACTCCCGGGTACCTATTTACTGCTAGGTAACAGGGGCATTCAGGGTGAAAGAAACTTTGCCCATTTGTTTCTGCCTCGTGCGGGAATCGAACCCGCGCCACAGAATTACGAGTCCTGCGCGCTATCCACCAGGCTACGAGGCCCCCCTTTACGAAGAAGCAACCCACAACTATTGCCTAACCCCCAGATACTTATTTGTGGTTAAAGCAAAAAGTTTATGTTAAACAAGCAAGACAAAAATATAGATAAGTACACACAGGCACAATCTAGTATGAAAGATCTCTGATCATTTAACTTACAACATGAAACAAATATTTAGAAAAATTAGTATTATTGATGAAGTTTGCTAATCTGGACTATATGGGAAGGACCCCCCCATCCGGATAGTCCCGTCATCCAGATCAACAGATGTTTTACCGGGGAACTTCTAAAGTGAACATTTCCAAATTTTGGGGTACCACAACCAACATAATTTGAATTTCCACACACTTTAATTAGTGTGTAGGGCTGGGTGGGTGGTTAGCTGCCTGGCTGGTAGGTGGGCAGGGCAAGTGGGCAGGCGGGCTGGATGGGTTGATGGCAGGCAGATGCTCATGGTAGTTGGCAGGCGAGTGGGCAGGCAGGCACGTGGGTGTGTGGGCAGGTAGGTGAGAGAAGAGGTTGGTGGGTGAGCGAGCAGGTAGGCAGGCTGCTGTACAAGCAGGTGGATGGGTAGGCATGCAGGTTTGGGCAGGTTTCAGTGGGTGGGCCAGTAGGCAGGCAGGTTTCAGTGGGTGGGCAGGTAGGCAGGCAGGTTTCAGTGGGTGGGCCGGTAGGTAGACAGGTTTCAGTGGGTGGGCCGGTAGGTAGACAGGTTTCAGTGGGTGGGCCGGTAGGCAGGCAGGTTTCAGTGGGTGGGCAGGTAGGCAGGAAGGTTTCAGTGAGTGGGCCGGTAGGTAGACAGGTTTCAGTGGGTGGGCAGGTAGGCAGGCAGGTTTCAGTGGGTGGGCAGGTAGGCAGGCAGGTTTCAGTGGGTGGGCAGGTAGGCAGGCAGGTTTCAGTGGGTGGGCAGGTAGGCAGGTAGGTTTCAGTGGGTGGGCAGGTAGGCAGGCAGGTTTCAGTGGGTGGGCAGGTAGGCAGGCAGGTTTCAGTGGGTGGGCAGGTAGGCAGGCAGGTTTCAGTGGGTGGGCAGGTAGGCAGGCAGGTTTCAGTGGGTGGGCCGGTAGGTAGACAGGTTTCAGTGGGTGGGCCGGTAGGCAGGCAGGTTTCAGTGGGTGGGCCGGTAGGCAGGCAGGTTTCAGTGGGTGGGCCGGTAGGCAGGCAGGTTTCAGTGGGTGGGCCGGTAGGCAGGAAGGTTTGAGTGAGTGGGCCGGTAGGCAGGCAGGTTTCAGTGGGTGGGCCGGTAGGCAGGCAGGTTTCAGTGGGTGGGCAGGTAGGCAGGAAGGTTTCAGTGAGTGGGCCGGTAGGTAGACAGGTTTCAGTGGGTGGGCCGGTAGGCAGGCAGGTTTCAGTGGGTGGGCCGGTAGGCAGGCAGGTTTCAGTGGGTGGGCAGGTAGGCAGGCAGGTTTCAGTGGGTGGGCAGGTAGGCAGGCAGGTTTCAGTGGGTGGGCAGGTAGGCAGGCAGGTTTCAGTGGGTGGGCCGGTAGGTAGACAGGTTTCAGTGGGTGGGCAGGTAGGCAGGAAGGTTTCAGTGAGTGGGCCGGTAGGTAGACAGGTTTCAGTGGGTGGGCCGGTAGGCAGGCAGGTTTCAGTAGGTGGGCAGGCAGATTTGTACAGGTGGGTAGGCAGTCAGGCATGTGGCCACACAGGCAGGAGGGCAGGTGGCACTCTCTATACCCATACCTTCATATACCCACACCCTACCTGTGCCTTCCTTTCACCCATCATCCTCCCAACCCATGTCATCACCCAATTCTCCCCCTCCCGACCCATGCCATGCTCCCATTCTCCCCCTACTACCTCTTTTGGGAAGACAGGCTGTCAGGATGCTGACAAGCTGTCAAGATACACAAAGTCTTTGCCACAGATCTCTGATAAAGAAAGAGATCTAGGGATGGTTCTAGATAGAAAATTATCACCTGTGGACAACATAAAGAATATTGGGCGAGGAGCCTATGCTACACTTTCTAACTTCAGAATTGCTTTTAAATACATGGATGGCGATATACTAAAGAAATTGTTCACGACTTTTGTTAGGCCAAAGCTAGAATATGCAGCGGTTGTGTGGTGCCCATATCTTAAGAAGCACATCAACAAACTGGAAAAGGTGCAAAGACATGCTACTAAGTGGCTCCCAGAACTGAAGGGCAAGAGCTACGAAGAGAGGTTAGAGGCATTAAATATGCCAAAACTGGAAGACAGAAGAAAAAGAGGTGATATGATCACTACATACAAAATAATAACAGGAATTGATAAAATCGATAGGGAAGATTTCCTGAGACCTGGAACTTTAAGAACAAGAGGTCATAGATATAAACTAGCTAAACACAGATGCCGAAGAAATATAAGAAAATTCACTTTCGCAAACAGAGTGGTAGACGGTTGGAACAAGTTAGGTGAGAAGGTGGTGGAGGCCAAAACCGTCAGTAGTTTCAAAGCGTTATATGACAAAGAGTGCTGGGAAGACGGGACACCACGAGCGTAGCTCTCATCCTGTAACTACACTTAGGTAATTACAGACTGCCGGACAAGAAATAACACTAGACACAGACAGACAGATAGAGATCACACGTCTCTTTCCTGTTCACCCCCACGAGTGTCAATTGCTGTACAATGACACCATAACATACCCTTTACATAACATGACACCCTTTAACTGCGCAGCCTATAAATATGATACCCCAGTGCACAGGAAATAAATTCTCATTAAAAATTCTTTAGTTTTTTAAAGTGTCAAAAACCCTTCCCTCAGTATGGGTATGTCAAAAAAATTTCGAACTTGTACTTACTTTGGCTGCTATGGGGTCCGTAAGTTGGCGCGTGACGTCATCATTCCTTGTTCGCCCGTGCCGTAAGCTCCCGGGGCCGGAGGGGCGCGCAAGTTGCTGCGAATATATTTTTGTTCATTTTTTTGTGCACAGTTCCAAATACATTTTATTTGTTTTTACGTGCTAATCCTATGTATAATGAACACGTACACTATATTATGGCAGTAAAACATCCGTACTGTCTGAGGACACTGTGTTACGTGCATGACACTTGTGTACACATATGTTGCACATATTTACCATGTATCATGCTAATAAATTTGTATATATACAATCTATTTACAGACTATACACTGTCACACACTATATATATTCACCGTCAACACATTCAGAACACCACGAGTGTGAGCTGTTACACCCAGCCAGTCTCCCTCAATCCTCCAACATTGTAGGCACCAACATTGCTTCTCCAAATCATATAGTTATTCACACCATATATTAATATAATATATTAATATATGTATGAGGTGTATGAGCTGGAGGAGGCAGGAGTCACACTGCAGCAAGCTCCTGGAAATATCGAATTACCTAAGTATTGGGAACAGGTTGAGGGCTACAGTGGTGTCCCAGGTTACATAAAGGTTCAGGGAAGAGTAAAAGCAAATAAAATACAATAAACAAGTAAAAGTGAGTGAAAATAGCCGAGTGGAAAAGTTTGTTTTGGTCTAGAACAAAAACAAAGATGGCCGCCGCCACCACCCCCACTGAGAATGTAGACACACCAACAAGCAGATGGTTTCAAAGGATTCTCACCACAAGATATAAGGAAAGGAGGTGTTCTTGGCAGGTTAGAGATAATTGAGGATATGCAAAAGAAGTATGAAGAAAAAGTGCTTAAATTGGAAGAGGACAATGGAGCTCTTTGGAGTGAGCTTTGCACTCTAAAAGGGAGTATGCTTCAACAAGGTAAGATTATTACTGCATTAACAGACAAGGTAACAAATCAGGAGGAGCAAATCAAGGAACTAGTGAAAGAAAATGAGGCATGGAAAGTGAAGTGTGGTGACTTTGAAGAAATAAACAAGAAGATAGACTCATATGGTGAACAACTCCAAGCAAGCCTAAGGGCTAACATAGAGTTAGGTAAGGATCTCCAACTGGAAACTTCACTGTCAACTCACATAGAGGAGGTGAATAAAGAACTAGAAAAGTATAAAGAAGAAATAAAAGCGACATATGCTGAAGTTGTAAAAGAGAAAGAGACTATCAAAGAAGTGTGTTCGGAAGTCAAAACCAGAAATGACCAACAAGAAGCAGAAATTAGGCAAGCAATTAGGAAAGAACTGGTTACCAACAGTAAACTGGTACAAAACACTGCAGATAGAACTAAGTCCATAATCATTTTTGGATGTTTAGAGAAGGAAATTCCATCTAGGGTGGACTGAGCGGCAGAAGAGATGAAAATCAGAGAAAATAGTAGGTTTAGGAGAAGGCTCAAAGGAAAATGTCAGTGATTTTAGAAGAATAGGAAAATATGAGAAAGAAAAGAACCGCCCCTTAAGGGTGACGTTTAATGGAGTGAAAAACATGATGGAAGTGCTAAGAAATGCCAGGAAACTGCAGAGTGATGAGGTTGGCAAATTATGGTCAATAAGACAAGACCTCTCCAAGGAAGACAGAGAAAAGCTGAAAATGAACCTAATTGAGGCAAAACGTCTAAATGGGGATAGAAATGAAGAAGACAGAAATTCTTTTTTTTACAAAGTGACAGGGACTGGAAAGCTTGTGAAATGGTACATAAAAACAAAGCAACAAGATCAGTAGTGGAAGGGGGAGTAAAGAGCAAAGGAAAAGGGAACATGTTCCTGAAAATTGTATATACCAACATAGATGGAGTGAGGTCAAAAACTTTGGAGTTGCAAGATATAATCCAGCTTAGGGTCCCAGATAATGTTGCATTATCAGAGACGAAACTTGAAGGAAATATAATAAATGAAGTCATATTCCCAAGAGGCTACTCAGTTTGGAGATGTGACAGGAAAACTAGGAAGGGAGGAGGAGTGGCTGTACTGGTGAAAAAACACCTGAAGGTAAAAGAGTTAATATTTGAAAACCCTCGAGATATTGACATAATGGCATTGCAGGTCTGGAATCAGGATGATAAGCTGATAATTGTAAATACCTACAGCCCACCAGCAAGCAACACATGGACAAAGGAAGAACTGGATGACAAACGAGAGGGCCTCATAATGGTCATGAGAGATATTATTGTACAAGCAGATAAAGATAAATCACGACTGTTGATACTGGGGGACTTCAACTTTAGAGCAATAGACTGGGAGGCCTATGAAGCAAGAACGGAGGACTTTTGGACATGCAGATTTGTGAACCTCATTCTGGAGACATTCTTGTATCAACACATAAAGCAAGCCACAAGAATGAGGGAAGGAGATATACCGTCAGTACTGGATCTAGTATTCACCAGGAAAGAAGAAGAGATTTTTGACATCCAGTACCTTCCTCCCTTGGGAAAGAGTGATCACGTCCTGTTAGACATTAAATATGCTTTAAGATATCATCTAGAAGAAAATGGGGACATTGAAACAGTTGATAAACTCGATTTAAGGAGAGGCAACTATGGGGAACTTCGAAATTTTTTTAATGAGTGTAATTGGACAGAATTGTTGCTAGGCAGGGAAGTAAATGAAATGTATGCCAAATTTTTAAAACTATACGAGGAAGGCACACAAACATTCATACCAAAACAGAGATGCAGGGCCAGAAAACAGGATTGGTTCGACAGAAATTGTGAGAGGGCAAGAGACCAAAAGACACAAAAATGGAATCAGTATAGGAAGAGGCCAAACCCCCAAACATACCAGCGATACAAAGATGCGAGAAACAACTATACAGCAGTAAGGAGAGAGGCAGAAAGAAATTTTGAAAAAGGGATAGCAGATAAATGTAAAACAGAACCGGGCCTATTCTACAAATTCATAAACAACAAATTGCAGGTAAAGGATAATATCCAGAGGTTGAAAATGGGAAACAGATTCACGGAAAATGAAAAGGAAATGTGTGAAACATTAAATGAAAAGTTCCAAAGTGTGTTTGTACAAAATGAAATCTTCAGAGAACCAGACACAATAAGAATTCCAGAGAACAACATTGAGCGGATAGAGGTGTCTAGAGATGAAGTGGAAAATATGCTAAAGGAGCTCGGGAAGAACAAAGCAGCTGGCCCAGATGGCGTTTCACCATGGGTTCTGAGAGAATGTGCATCTGAGCTCAGCATTCCACTTCACCTGATCTTTCAGGCATCCCTGTGTACAGGAATCGTAGCAGACGTGTGGAAACAGGCTAACATAGTTCCAATCTACAAAAGTGGCAGCAGGGAAGACCCCCTCAATTATAGACCTGTATCATTGACAAGTGTAATAGTGAAAGTATTGGAAAAGCTAATCAAAACTAAATGGGTAGAACACCTGGAGAGAAATGATATAATATCAGACAGACAGTATGGTTTTCGATCTGGAAGATCCTGTGTATCGAATTTACTCAGTTTCTATGATCGAGCCACAGAGATATTACAGGAAAGAGATGGTTGGGTTGACTGCATCTATCTGGACCTAAAAAAGGCTTTCGACAGAGTTCCACATAAGAGGTTGTTCTGGAAACTGGAAAATATTGGAGGGGTGACAGGTAAGCTTCTAACATGGATGATAAATTTTCTGACTGATAGAAAAATGAGGGCAGTAATCAGAGGCAATGTATCGGAATGGAGAAATGTCACAAGTGGAGTACCACAGGGTTCAGTTCTTGCACCAGTGATGTTTATTGTCTACATAAATGATCTACCAGTTGGTATACAGAATTATATGAACATGTTTGCTGATGATGCTAAGATAATAGGAAGGATAAGAAATTTAGATGACTGTCATGCCCTTCAAGAAGACCTGGACAAAATAAGTATATGGAGCACCACTTGGCAAATGGAATTTAATGTAAATAAATGTCATGTTATGGAATGTGGAATAGGAGAACATAGACCCCACACAACCTATATATTATGTGAGAAATCTTTAAAGAATTCTGATAAAGAAAGAGATCTAGGAGTGGTTCTAGATAGAAAACTATCACCTGAGGACCACATAAAGAATATTGTGCAAGGAGCCTATGCTATGCTTTCTAACTTCAGAATTGCATTTAAATACATGGATGGCGATATACTAAAGAAATTGTTCATGACTTTTGTTAGGCCAAAGCTAGAATATGCAGCTGTTGTGTGGTGCCCATATCTTAAGAAGCACATCAACAAACTGGAAAAGGTGCAAAGACATGCTACTAAGTGGCTCCCAGAACTGAAGGGCAAGAGTTACGAGGAGAGGTTAGAAGCATTAAATATGCCAAAACTAGAAGACAGAAGAAAAAGAGGTGATATGATCACTACGTACAAAATAGTAACAGGAATTGATAAAATCGACAGGGAAGACTTCCTGAGACCTGGAACTTCAAGAACAAGAGGTCATAGATTTAAACTAGCTAAACACAGATGCCGAAGAAATATAAGAAAATTCACCTTCGCAAATAGAGTGGTAGACGGTTGGAACAAGTTAAGTGAGAAGGTGGTGGAGGCCAAGACCGTCAGTAGTTTCAAAGCGTTATATGACAAAGAGTGCTGGGAAGACAGGACACCACGAGCGTAGCTCTCATCCTGTAACTACACTTAGGTAATTACTTAGGTAATTACCAATGTTTCATGTTCATGTATATATATTTACAACATATGTACACACTATACACTGTCATAAACAATATACATTCACCATTAACACACTCAGAACACCGCAAGTATGAGCAGCCACACCCAGCCAGTCTCCCTCACTCCAACATCTTACTCGCCAACATTGCTCCTCCCACCATACTGTTCTTGTTTTTATTACACTATTTACACATGTTATATATACCTATCTACATGTTTTATTTACCAGAACTATGCAAGTAAGCCGGTATTGTGTCCAAACAGTACAGTGGCCACCATACACTGCATGACAAATCATACAGCAGACGACGCTACGATTACGACGTCACCTCCCTCACCAAAATAGCTCCTCTCA